CCTGCATTTATGCCTAAGAGTAAATGTCAATGAAACAAACATACCAAGAGGGGTCTGTGTAAATGTCGCCGCCTCCAAGAAGCCGATTCCGGTCTTGGTGCGCTCCTCGGAGACTCCCTCTGCCCCGCTGCCAGTGGTTTGTCATTCCCTGGGGCACGTGGCTCGCTCTGCCCCTCGTTTCCCACTAGACTGACTTCTGAAGGATCTGGAACAGGGTCTTCTTCATTGTGCCCCCACTGCCCAGTACAGGGCGTGGCACTTAGTAGGTGCTACATGCGGGTTTGTAGCCTTGAAATGTGTACATATGCGACTGATTCTGTGCAATTATAGATCTCTTGCTCCAGACAAAAGGGGTTGTATTTTGGACACGTGTGTGTGTGTGTGTGTGTGTGTGTGTGTGTGTGAGTCCCTGTAACTTTGTGTGTGGTTTAGGGCCACATAGTTTATATTTTATTTCCCGATATTTACGAATGTCTCACTCTGGCCACCAGGGCTTGCTGTGTCTCTGTGTCTATTCCTGTCCAGGATGGTGTGTGTGTGTGTGTGTGTGTGTGTATCACCATGTGATTGTGTGTATCTCCATTTCACCACCAGGGGGCGGTGTGCTGTCCAAATAGGGTGGCTCCCAGTGTTCAGTTTACGGGTTGGTGTGCGTGGGTGGGGTGTGGCTGGTGGCATCCGGGCAGTGCCAGGCAGAAGGGCCTCCACGCCCCGGGGGACTGACTGGAGAGGCTTTCTGTCGAGCCACCCCTTCCCCAAGGTCCCCCGTTCCAGCGCCGAACAAAGCCTAATTGGTAGGTCTCTGTGCAGACATATGCTGGGCCAGCCAGGCGCACAGCCTAGCGTTTGGCTCCAATCCCTTCCTTCTGCCTGGGAGGTGGGGGCGGGGAGGAGAGTCGGCTCCCTGCACACCCTTTTCCGGCACCAGAGCTCGCAAGAGCCAGACTTCTCAGGTTCCAGTCCCTCTTCACACTTCCTTATCTGTGTGGCCTTGGCCAAAGTCCTCTCTGAGCCTCAGTTTCCTCATTCGTAAGATGAGAATAATGAACGTCATCGCACAGGGTCGCTAAACGAGAGACCGTATGTAAAGGGCTTACAAATGCTGCTACCGGGGCTGTTATAGGTCTGTTACGACAACCGCAGGCTTCCCCCTAGTCACCAACATCCCCCCGGGGCCGGGGACAGCCTGGGGATGCGGAGGAGCTTTCCTAAACGTGGGGAACCGCACATGCGCAAGCAGCGCCCCCCAGCTCTGGACGTCCTCGCTGCTGTGTGACCCGCGGCGCCTCTCTCCGCAGTACGTGCACGAGGGCGGTGTGGAGGACCTCGTGAGGCCCCTGCTGGCCATTCTGGACAGGCCCGCGAAGCTGCTGCTACTGAGGGACATCAGGTGGGGTGGGGGCTGTGGGGAGGGTTTGGGGGGCAGAACGGGGACCTCTGAGAACTCCCCCCACTGTCACCCCCAGAACTGTGCCCCTGCCCACCCCCTGTCTCTCGACCTCCCCCAGGAGCGTGGTGGCCCCCACCGACCTCGGCCGCTTCGACAGCATGGTGATGCCCGTGGAGCTGGAGGCTTTTGAGGCCCTTAAGAGCCGGGCAGGTCAGCAGCTGGGGGTAGGACGTGTAGATCCTGAGCCCCAGGTGGGGATGGGAGTGGGGCCTCCCGGGGGGAGACGGGGCAGAGATGGCCTTCAGCTGGGTCCATCAGGGAGCCCGGCAGGGGCCCCGCCTCTGACGGGGTCTCCTCTCCCAGTAGTACGGCCTCCTGCCTTGCGACCAGCCCGGCAGGACACACCGCCCAAGCGTCACCTCATCACGCCTGTGCCTGGTCAGTCAGAGTCCCGGAGCCGGGGGAGGGGGCACACTGGGGAAGGGAGAACGGGCCCTCCGTCCCTGCCCCCCACAGAGGGTGTCGTGGCTTCCGAAGGCCGGCTGGTTCCCTGAAGGAAATCCTTGTCCACCGCAGCCACGTTTATCACATCCACTCACCCCCTGTACTATTATTTACTTAATAATTGGTTTTAAACCCACTCACTTTTTTTTTAATTTTTTTATTCTTATGTTAATCCCTATACATTACATCATTAGTTTTAGATGAAGTGTTCCATGATTCATTGTTTGTGCATAACACCCAGTGCTCCATGCAGAATGTGCCCTCCTCAATACCCACCACCAGGCTAACCCATCCTCCCACCCCCCCTCCCCTCTAGAACCCTCAGTTTGTTTTTCAGAGTCCATCGTCTCTCATGATAAACCCAGTCACTTTTTAAATCTACTCTCATTCTATGCAATAATCTCTGAGAAATTACCAGTTTGGTGTGTGAGTGCTATTTTTTCTGAGACACATATTGCCATAGAAAACTTTAAAGTTCTGTATCACCCTGGAACCCAGGCAGAGTCCCTCACTGCGCGCACAACCACCAGAGGCCTGAGCAAACCCAAGCTTGGGTCTCATGGGCCCTGCACCGACGAAGGCGAGGATTGGGGCCTGGCAAGGTGGTCCGGGCTGGTGAGGACGGGCAGCCTGACCTTGGCCCCCTTCCCCAGACAGACGTGGAGGTTTCTACCTGCTGCCTGTGAACGGCTTCTCGGAGGAGGAAGACGATGGGGAACTGAGGGAGCGGCTGGGGGGCCTCCAGCTCTCCCTGGGTGCCTCTGCTCCCCGCCACCCTCATAAAGGGATCCCCCCTCTCCAAGACGTGCCAGTAGACGGCTTCGCCCCACACCGAAGCTCCTGCACACCCCCTCCCCAGCCACCCCCCGTCGCTCCCCGGCCCCCAAGGCCTAACTGGCTGCTGACAGAACCCCTGACCCCAGAGGACCCTCGGCAGGGCCAGAGCCAGAGGCAGAGCCAGGGCCCTGCCCAGAGCCACAGCCGCAGCCGGGGTCGAGGCAAGTCCCCCGGACGCAGGCACTCCCCATCCCCAGCGCCTGTCCCCACCCCCAGCATGGCCAACGGGCGCTCCCACAAGCCTCGGAAGGCCAGGCCCCCTCTGCCACAACCTGTGGATGAGCAGGCAGCCAAGGCGGGGGGCCGTCAAGGCCCCTCCGAGAATGGAACTGGCGGGACAGCCAGGGAGGCAGCCAAGAAGGCCCCTGGTGGGGAGCTGAGGACAGTCACGCTGTCCAAGATGAAGCAGTCCTTGGGTGAGTGCAGGTGGGACTAGGCCTGGCAGGTGGGGCTCTTGGGTTTGGGTGAGGTTTCTGGGCTTGGTTTTGGGGTACAACTAGGGGGCCTGGGCTTAGGAAAAGATTTGGATATGGGGGTCTATTTGGGAGGTTCTAGATTGGAGGGGGTGGGAACTAGAGGATTTTTGGAGTCGAGGACCGAGTAGGAACAGAATCTGGGGATTTGGGAGAAGTCGGGGCCTGGACTTGGCGTTGGGGTGCTGGGTTTCTTCTGGGAGCTCTGGGTTGAGGGGTGTGGCTACATGCTCATCCGGTGTTTTTCTCTCACTAGGCATCAGCATTTCTGGGGGCATTGAGTCCAAGGTGCAGCCCATGGTGAAGATAGAAAAGATCTTTCCGGGGGGGGCTGCCTTCCTCAGTGGGGCCCTGCAGGTGGGTGAAGAGTACCCAAGCCCACTCCCGAGGTCCAGAGCTGAATTCTGGTGGGGGTGGGGCCGGAACATACTCATCTTCCAGCCAGACAGGTTTAGACCAGGTCCTGGGAGGAGGCTTGGGTGCAGGGGGGTCAGGCCTGCAAGATGAACAAGCCTAGGGAGAAATCTGTCCCCTCATGCCAGCCTGGGCCTGAGAGTGGCCCATCATGTTCCACCCCTAGCCCCAAGGGACAAAGGGCCATTGTCTGTGCCTCACCCTGCCCCCCACAGCTCCAGGCACAAAAGTCCCATTGTCCATCCCCTCCACCCAGATGAGGAGGAGTGTCCTAGGTGGTGGAGGTGAGAGGTTGGGTGGTGGGATGACCTGAGAAGGGAGGGCTTTGATTTTCCCACCCCCATCCCAGGCTGGCTTCGAGCTTGTGGCAGTGGATGGAGAGAGCCTGGAGCAGGTGACCCACCAGCAAGCAGTAGATACCATCCGCCGAGCTTATCGAAACAAGGCTCGGGAGCCCATGGAGCTTGTGGTCAGGGTCCCCGGGACCAGTCCACTACCCTTACCCCCTGACTTGTCGGCCCTCACCAATCAGCGCCTTCCTGCTGACCATTCCCCTACCCGCTGACCCCTTGATGGTACTCCTTCCCTCCCACTGCCTCCCAGAACCTCCCATTAATGCTCTGCCCACCAATATCCAGATTCCTCCCACCGACGCCAGGCTCCTCCATCGGACCGACAGCCCAGTCCCTTCTCTAGCCCTCCAGACTCCTGATACTAACCCCAGACTCTCCCCACCTATGCTACGACTCTTCCCACTGACTTCAGATCCTCCCACTGACTCTCAGGACCCTCCTGCTATCTCCCAGACGTCACCTACTAACCTCCTCGGGACTTAGGAACCTCCCCCTCTTGCTTGACTTGCCTCCTCCCAAAGCTCCCCACTTTCTTCCCTCTCCAGCTATCACTAAGGCTCTGCTCTTTCCAGATAAACTTGGTGTCAAGGACAAGGTGCTCCTGGGTAGCCTGTGTCACCCGCTCACTGCCCCCAATCTGCCAGGACAGGGAGAGGTTGGGAGAAAGCCAAGGTCTGGCGCTTGGGATTGGTGGGCACTTTCTCATGATGTCCCCTTTAATGCCCCCAAGCACTGAGGGACATGGGCTCTCAACAGGGCCCTGAAGGGTCATTGCACCCATCCCCCAGCCCCAAGCAGTGTTCTGTGCAAGGGACAGGATGGAAGGCTTTTCTAGATTCTCAAACCCTGAGAGACCATTTCATGTCGTGGTCCGCTAGGACCTCACACTTTCTACTGGATTTGTCCTTCCCCCATCACTCTTTCCCTCCCCAAGATCCCTATGAGGGGTAAGGGATTAGCCAGCAAATTGAGGGGGCCTGGGGGTAGGGGTCAAAGAAGTTCCCATAATCTCTACCTAGCACACTCATCTTTTTTTTTTAAAAACAAAAGATTTTTTAATTTTTTTCTTTGGGTTTGTACAAGAAATTTACAGTGTGGAAAAATATACAAGTGAAAACGAGGCCATAAACCTGGGTGTGGGGAGGGGCCACTTGGTCACAAACACAAATAAACAAGACAATGCTGAGTTCTTCCTTTGGTCTGACTACAGCCCCCTTGTCCCAGGAGAGAGGCTGCAGGGCTGGAGCCTGGGGGTCACATCCCAGTCCCAGCCCTGGCCCCCGACACGGGCAGGGTGGGGGCAGGCACATCTGCGACAGCTGGCGCTGTCTGGCTCTCTCTGGCTTTGGGGTAGGGAAGAGTGTGGAAACGAAGGCGCCCCCTCCTCCTCCTCCCAGCCCCCTGGCGTCTGGGATGAATGCGCTTGGCAGAGTGGCAATGGCGGCAGAAGGGGGGTGAAATGGGTCAAGCGAGCAGGAGCCTCTGCATGACCGTGAAACGGGGACCTTCAAGGAGTCTGATCTTGCTCATCCAAGTCACAGGGCCGCCCCAAGGTCTTGGCAGAGGCCCAGAGGCCTGGATCCCAGGGGACGAGTGGTTCTGGGGCCCTCAAGACTTTGGGGACCTCCGTGGACCTGAGGCTCCCGCCACCTCCCCCCTTCGGCAGAGCTCCCCGCAGATCTGGGATGCCAAGGGCCCTAGATTTCGGTGGCGGTGATCTCCTCCAGGCAGATGCAGGGGGCCGGCTCGGCCAGGCCCAGCTCGGCGAGCTCCCGGGCCTCCAGCTCCAGGCTCAGCTGCCGCAGCTCCTGCTCCAGCTGCCGGTTGCGCCGGTACATCTGGATGTAGTTGTGCTGCAGCTGCTTCTGGTAGCGGATCACCTGCTCCTTCTCCGCCTGCCAGGCCAGCCGCTCCCCCTCGAAGCTGTCCCGCTGCTCCTCACCCCGCCGCCGCTCCCGCTGCAGCTCTGCCCGCAGCCGCTCCACCTGGGCGCGCAGGCTGCTCCCGGCCCCGGCGGCCGCCCGCTGCGCCTTGGCCTCATCGCTCTCTGCCAGGAGGAATGGGTCGGCGGCGGCAGGTGACCCGGGGGCTTCCCGGAGTCCGGCCGCCTCGCTGTCCAGCTGGCCAGCTTTCTCTCGGAGCCGCTCGGCCTCCCGGCGGTGCTGCTGCAGCTCCTGGGAACAGGCCTCCAGCTCCAGCTCCCGAGCCCGGGCCGCCTCCTGCAGGCCCCGCGCCCGGCCCTCGCTGGCCCGGAGCGCGCCTCGGGCTTCTCGCAGCGCCACCCGCAGGGCCACCAGCTCGCTGCCCTTCTGCACCAGCTCTGCCTGGGCCTCCTTCAGCTGCTGCTTCAGCAGGGAGATCTCACCTGACTTCTGGCACACCTAGGGGTGGGAGGGGGCCGGGGAGGGGGGTGAGAGGGCTTCTCCCAGAGGGCCAGGCCCTGAGATCACGCGGGGTGTTTGGGGAGAGCTTGTTTGATCATGACACGCACGACACGGATGGAGACACTGAGGCGAGCCCGGTGACACGTCCAAGGCCACATATAGGCTAGTAAGCGGCCGACGTAAAACACAGACCCAGATCTTTTTCCTTCAAAGCAGGTGACTTTAAACCATCACAGAGGCCCAGGACTGGCTGGTGGCAGGTTTTGCAGGACTGGGAGCCACTGAGGGCAGTGCCCACACTTCCACCGGGAGGCGCCACGGCATTTTGGTGAAAAGCGCAGATGATGGAGCCACAGGCCTGAGTTCAAATCTCAGCTCTGCCACTGCCTAATCGTAATTCTGGGCTCCAGCCTTCCTCATCTCAAAAATGGGGGTGTTAACAATAGCCGCCTCCCAGGGCTGTTCTGGGGATCGGAAGATCCACTCTAAGTAACGGCTAGAAAGTTCTGGGTGCGTAGCAGGCTCTACATTCTTATTGGTCGGGAGGCAGTGGATGGGAAGGCCACTGGCTAGGTGAGCACTCGACCCGAGCAACGAGGAGACCTAAAACGGGGGCACAAGGGGACCCCCTCCCCGCCCCAGGAAGGGAGGTCAGAGGGAGATCTTCATCTCCCGGAGGTGAGGATGGGGAGGACCTCTGGGAGTAGCAGGCTGGGTGGGGGGGTGTTAATGGCTGGACCCCTGGGCCCAGGGCTCGTCCCAGGAGGCCCCGCTCCCCGCCCCTCCCGGCCTGGCCCACCTCCCACTTGGTCTCCTCGAGCCGTGGCCCGAGCTCCCGCTGCTCCCGCTCGAAGGTGGCACAGCGCCGCTCTAGCTGCTCCCGCTCCTGCAGCAGCTGCGCGAAGTCGTCCTGCAGCTGCCGCTTCTCGTGCTGCAGCTGGAACACCTGCAGCTGGAGCAGCTGGTGGGCCCGCTGCGCCCGCTGGGCCTGGGCCGTGCTGTCGTCCCGTGGCGGCTCCCGCTCCCGCGGCCAGTGCCGCTGCCGCTCCTCATACGCCTGGGGACAGAAGGCAGACCTGGGTCCCCCCCGCCCACTGCTCCCAGGTCACCAACGGCTCTTGGCTGGGCTCGGGGACCGGAGAGGCCATCCAACCACTCAAGAATAATTACGGTAACTCTAGTCACAACCACTTCTAGGGTTCTCGGGACAATGTCCATGATAGCAAACGCCCCTGCAGAAATTCCTAGGTGCCGGGCGTCATTCTAAGCGCTCCACAGCCTCTGCCTTACTTAATCCTCATCCGAACCCCAGGAGGCCAGACATGTGCCCATCTCTAGCTGAGGACAGCGAGGCTCAGCCCCGTGAAGTGTCTCGCTCAAGTCTGAGGACAGCCAACGGCGGTGCTGGCCGGGACCCCTCACCACTCCCCAGGTGAAGCCCGACAGCTGGGCCTCACCTGCCGCCCCCCCCCGCCCGGGCACACACGGGAGTGCTCCCTGGACTCCCGGCTCCTGCAGCTGTCCGGCCGGACCACCCCACCATCACTGCTGACCACACCTGGCACACGGTCACCTCACTCTCGTCCAGACTGTCCCGCAGCTGCTGCAGCTCTGCCTCACGGTCGTGGAGCTTTCCTTCCAGGACACAGTGCAGCAGGGCCTCATCCGAAGGGGGTGGAGGGGGTGGGGGCGGGGGTGGGGAGCGCTCCCCACAGGAGCTGCTGTCAGGCGAGGCCCGGGCACCACTGCCCAAGAGCCCCCCAGCCACACGGCCTCCCAGGGAGCCTGTGCTCTTGCTGGAGGAGGATCGGCCACTGTCCGAGTGGGAGGGCCCAGTAGGGGCCCCTCGGGCTGGCCCGGGCAGTGCCCCCCGCGCAGGGCCGTGGGAGGGCAGGTGCCCGCCTGGGGAGTGGCTGGCTGGCTCTGCACCCCCGGTGCTGTAGGTGGGCAGGCTGGACAGTGAGTTTCGGCCGGAGTCAGACAGTGTCCCTGATGGGCAGCCGCTGGTCCAGCCACTCAGTGCCAGGGGTTTGTCAGCAGCCGAGGAGGAGGAGGAGGACGAGGACGAGGCAGGGCCCCCGAACAGCTGTGTTAGGCTGCCCTGGCTCCCAGACAGTCCGGCGGCCCGAGGACCCAGGAAGCTAGGTAGGGATGGTGCCCCTCGAGGTTTGGGCAGCACCGGCTTGAAGGCTGTTGGGCGGATCAGGATTTTCTCCATGTTCTGAAATGAGGTGCCACGTGACACTGGGGATGAGCTGCCCAATCTTTCAAAGCCCTTATCATACTCCCTGCTCTCCGATCTGGGGTCCCCAATCCCCACACATTAATACTAATTGCTACCACCGCTGAGGGCCTCCTGATACCCTTTATGGCAAGCCACTTAAAAGGTTCATCGCTAATCATTACAACAGCCACACGAGCAAAATATTATCACTGTGCCCGTTTTACAGATGAGCAAATGGAGGCTCAGCAAAGTTAAAGGCCTCGTTCAGAGTCAGATGCGTAGCCGTTGCACAGTTACAGGAGTCTGAGCAGCTCACCTTTACTGAGCACGTGTTGTGTGACAGGCACTAGGCTCAACACTGACATACACTGTGTGATGGGATGCTCCCGACCATCTCAGGAGAGCTGACCTGGTGCCTCCACATTGCAGATACAGAACCTCTGGCTCAGAAAGGCTAAGTGACTTCCCTGAGCTCATGCAGCTGGAATGAGGCAGAGCTGGGATTAGAACCCAGGTCTGGTGAATCTGCAGCCCACATTCTCTCCTCTAAATCGGCCCCCAAATTCCAGCTTCTTCAGGGGGCTCCTGATTCCACCCAGGCCCCAAAGGAAGGGCTGGTCCTTACCTTCTCCAGCTTTCCAGAGACAGGGATGAGCTTGGGTGGGGGGCCGCGCAGATGGGCGTTGCGTGCCCGCTGTTCTCGGGCATCCTCAATGTCACTGCTCGGGCTGGAGGGTGACTCTGTCCGGAAGTCCTCGTTGATGTAGGTGAAGCTGGTGCCAGCGACGGTCTTCCGAGGGGGCACAGCTGGGCACAGCGGCTCCTGTGCCTCATAGCCACCCCGGAGCAGGCCATCCTGCTGGCGGAAGAAGGTGGGCCCAGGGGGGCCATGGTGGCGGGGAGGAGCTGGCCCCCCGGGGCAGGGCCGGCCTGAGATGAGGCTGCTCACGCTGCCCATGGCTGGAGCTTGTGGGGCAGTGGTGGCCTCAGGAGCGGGCTCGAGTGGCACTGGCAGAGTCTGCACAATGGCCATGGCGACAGAGGCTCAGGCCTGGCCAAGGGCCTCCAGGGGAACCTGTGAGCAGGGCAGTGGCGTCAGAGTCCCTTCACCTTGAGGCCCCTCCCTATACAAGTCCCCGAGTCCCTCTCCTGACCCCTTGTCCCACGTCAAACAGCCTCCTGAGATCGGGTACAAGCCCTGATCCCCGAAGGCTCCTCCTCCAAGCACTGGCATGAAACTCGGGTCTTCCTGGGATCCAGATCACCGTCCAACTCTGGTCTGAGCAGTGCTAAGGGCTGACCTTACCAAGCAAGGAAGATGAGGGGAAGGGAGGCCTGCTGGTGACGCAGTGCCCCGCCCAAACCTGCATCCCTCACAGAGTTCGGGACTCAAGTTTAGGAGGGAGTTCTCTACCAGCTCCCAGCACAGGTTTCTGGTCCCCTGGGACAGGTGGCCTCATTAGAGGGCACTTGGGGCAGAGGCAACCTCAGGGACACAGTCAGCAACTCAGATGGTAATTAGGGAATAAAGAGCCAAGGCCAGGCAGCGCCCAGCCTCCCCCAGCTGGGCCTGTTTCTCCCAGACGGAGAGGCGGCAAGGATGGAGCCGGCCAAACAAGAAACCCAGAGCTTTTAGGGAGTGCACAGGTGCCCTCTGGGGTCTCCTGCCTTCTAGAGGTGGATGCAGGCTCCTGCTTGCTTCCATGACAACTCCGAGCCTTACCACACCCAATCAGTCTGGCCTAAAGGAGCCTACACAGGCCTGCGGCCAACCTCTGGTTCTGTGAAACCATCCGGCTTTAGACAGTCTCCAGAGCAGCCCGGAGGGGATGAGGGTGAAAGCCCCACCATCACCTCTGGCAGCTGCTCTCAGATCTCACTTCCCTGGAACCCAGGGAAGAGGGCTCCACCTCCCCAGGCTCTGCTCCTTCCTGGAAGGGGACAGCAAGTCTCCACCCGGAACTCCCTCCCCAGGCCTGAGGCCGAAGAGCAGGACTCAGGCATCTGCTGAAATCATCATGCAGAGTGGGGGCCAAGAAGTGGACAGAGAATTGCGTAGGAACAGGAGTTTGTGTCTGTACTTATTGGTGTGTGTGAGACTGTGCACAGGCGCGTGGAAATGCGTCTGTGAAAATGTGTGAAAACATCATGAATGCGCGTGTGTGAGTATATGTATGTTTGAATAGTTGTATCAGTACATTCCTATTATTCATGTGTGTGGATTAATATGTCATAAAAGAGTACGTGTGTGCTTCGGGATCCCTCAGAAAATACGCACAAGTAATAACTGCATATAGGATAAGTGAATTCGTGGTGTATGAGTGCAACTCTCTGAGTGTCTTTGGATAGATGTCCCTTCAGATACACGAGTTTATATGTTAACCCCCCCTGCATCTTACACGAGCATACGAACAGGAAAGTGAGTGTGCACAAGTGTGTACAGACGAGTATGTGTATGTGGATAGGGCATGTGTGAGAGTGGGTGGGAGCCTGGGTGGCAAGCAGGGCCAACTGGGTGAGCAGGAGCCTGGTTCTTGTCACTCACTGGAGTGTGGGGAAAGGAGAGACACATTATCTGACTCCTTTGGTCTATCCCCCTTCTTTCTTGCTTGTATTCCACTAGGCCCACCCTCCACCTCCCCGCTCGAGTCAAAGGACCCTGAGAACCAGGAAGGTATCCAGACTGAGGGTGGAGGAGCTAGGGCTTGGGACCTGGGGGAGAGCAGAGTGCACCCACCAAGTGCCAGCCCTGGGCTAAGCAGATGGCACACCCCATCTCCTGCCCTCTCCCACACCACTCCAGGGCCCGGAGAAAGCTGTGGGGACGGGGCTTCTTAGGGGGCAGTGGAGGCTGGCACCTCTGTCTGCATTTGCCCACTTCAGTGAGCACTGAGAAAGTGAGAAGTAAGGGGAGGAGAGAGACAGACTCAGAGAAAGACAGGGACCCAAGAGACAAGAGACAAAGACTCAGAGAGGCCCCAGGGTCAGGCAGACAAGGAGACAGGCTGACCCAGTGAGTCTGGGCCCCTGAATCCCACGGAGCCAGAGGCCCCTAAACCCAGAAGAGCTATAAAAACTGGGCCCTGAGAGCCAGACACTCAGGGAGCCAGAGCCAGGCCTCTGGGAAGCCAGGCCCAGCCAGCCGGGCTCTAAGAGCGGGAGCCCGAGAGAGAAGGAGGGGCAAGTGGAGGCTCCATTTTGAGAAATGCGTTGTGGCTGTGGGAAAGGGAACCCCTGGCTCTCCCCAGCACTCCCTGAGTAATCACTCTGGCCCAGCGCGCGCACGCGCGCGCACACACACACACACACACACACACATACGCACACACACCCTTAGTGGGCTGGGGGCAGCCAAGCGCTGGGTTCAGCCAGGGCCCCGGGCAGGTCTGGCTAAGCTGAACTCCCACAGACCTGTTTCGGGGCTGAAGAGTTGGGGAAAGTCTCCCCCCACCGAACTCCAAAGACCAGTCAAACGGGATCAAGTCTGGGATCACGAGATCCCATTCCGCGACAGGAAGCCGGAGCCCCCAACCCACCCTCCAGAGCAACCCCCCCCTTTCTCCGCTTCCATTAAGTGGGGTCGGCTGGGGGATGCCGCCTCCGCACCGGCCCTCCGCCGCGCAGAAGTTGGGGGCGCCCCCAGGTCGCCTCCCAGCCCCGGCCCCCCCTCACCTCCGCCGCGCCGCTCCATGCTCAGCCCCGGGCCGCCCCCAGCGCTCCACAGGCTTGCCGCCCGGCTCCAGCCCGCGCGCGGCCACTCGGAGCCGCCCGGCCCGGCCCGGCCCCGCCTCCGCGGCGCCCCCGGCCCGACCGGCCCCCGTCCGGCCCGAGTGGGCGGCGCAGCGCGGGGGAGGGGTCCGAGGGGCGTCCCCGCCCCGGGCGCGGACACGCGCAGGCACCCCGCGTCACGCGAGGCCGGCCGGGCGCACGCGGGGACGGCGCCACGGGACTCGGGATTCCCCCCCTCCCCTCGAAGCCCGGTCGGCTCAGGACTCGGCGGCGGCGGCGGGTCACCCTCTACCCCTACTCGGGCCCCGGGGCCAGCGGCAGCTGGTCATTGTTCGAGCACAAAGGGCCGGGCGCCACAGCGGCCGCCCTTCCCCCTCCGCTCCTCGATCGAAGCCTGCCCCGCAAGACACACTCTCCGGTTTCGGAGTCCGGAGCGGGGCGCCGAGGGTCAGCTGCCCCCCCAACCCTCCCCGGCTGCCGGGCCCTTGCTCCCCAGGACCGGTCGGGGACCCAGGCTCGGGCCGTGCCTGCCCCACCCCCAGCGGTTAATAGAGGCATATTCGGATTTGCGGAGGTGGCGCCACCTGGCGACACATTCGGAGAATACACCGTCACCCCCCCAGCCCTGGGGGCCCCTACCCGGCTCCCCAGCACTGTACCCTCTCGACCCCGCGAGCCCAGGCCTGTCCCGGGCGCGGCTGTCTGCTCCCCAACCTTCCTTCAGAATCATTTGTTAAGACAGAGGTCATTGCTGGGAGAGCGGCAGCCCCTGCCCTCCCTCCCCAACAGTCACTGGGTTGAGGCGGTCCAAACCTACAGTCCGAACCTACACCAGCCTCACAGCTGACAACACTCCTCTGTCTTCTCAGGGTCACAGATATTCTCACCCTCTTGCAAACAACACAGTCTTCATAACACCCACACGACCTTTCCCACATTCAGTCCCCTGCAGCCACAATCACACAGTCTCATCCATCACGTGGTTCCATGTTCCTTCTTTCCATAATCTTTCAGGCCAACTCACACACAAACTGTCACACATCTTGCTGTGCAGAGTCTTTCACATAGACTCAAAGGCCTTCCTACCGAGGCACAATCTCAAATGGGCTTCCTCTCCTAAGCATCTTTCACACATTGGTGGTCTCATTCAGACAACTTACACATACACGTGGTGTTTCACAAACATTCTACCACACAGACTTTCCCCGAGGGGTCTCTGTGCCCCAGTCAGGCCAGCGAATGCCCACAGCCCTGGACAAGGACCGCCTCCCACCCCCTACTTGCATCCCCACCCCCAACGCCAAGGCCTGCCAGAGCTCCTCTGCCCCAGGAAGGAGCATCCCCCCCTTCCAGGCCACAGCCCTGGCCGGCTCTCAGCTCTATTTTTAGCTCTATGGAAAGGGGTTGTTTTTCTTTCTTTTTCCCTGGAAAGGGAGACATAGCCCAACCACCCTCAGGCTCACCCCAGACCCTGATCCTCACAAGAACAAACTGAGCCCCCCTCCTGTAGAGACCCCTCCTCTGGCCTTGCCCTGATCCCAGCCTCTTGGGGCACCAGGAGCCTCCTCCCCTTTCTGGCAGCCAGCCCAGAAGCTCAGGCAGCAGCTGGGCTCAGCATGTGTGGAGGGGTGGAGGGTGGGGCAGAGAGGGAGGCAGAGGGCCGCTGCCCACTCCCTCATTCCCTGGGAGGGGGGGTTCATCCTCCCTTCTAGGGCAGGGAGATGGGCCCACTCCCGTACTTAGGGCACATTTACCCTCGTGCATTCTCTGGGAAAGGAGGACTCCCACTCTTGCACGAGTGGGCTTTCTGTTCGTACAGTGAGGGGAGGAGGTCCCAGTTCTGCAAGGAGGGGTGGTGGCAGGAAGGGGACCACCGGCGCTCAGGCAGCTGCTCCCCAGACTGGAGGTATGGGGCGGGGGTTGCCGTACACTGCCATCAAAAATAGCGCCGTCCTCCGATACCTTCAGGGATGAGGGCACCATGAACGCGTTCGGGTGAAGGAAGGAGCGGAGCCCAGGTAACCCCACCGAGCCCTACAGTCTTCAGTCTTGCGCTACCCGGACTCCAGGGGGCGTTGTGCTCCCATTTCTGTGGGAAGGCTTAACATTTCTTGAGGCGGAGAATGGAATACAGCCCGACAGGAGACCTCGCAGACTCGCCCAGGACTGGGGAGGCAGGTCCTCGCCCTGACGCGGGGGTGGGGAAGCACAGCCCACTTGTCTCCGAAGCGATCACGTGCTCGGCGCCTGTTTACGTCTTAGTCTTCACCTGTGGGCGGCCAGGAAGCAGGAACCTCCGGAGGTGTCCCACCCGGCTCGCCCCCGTCGGCGGTCGCCGGGCAGCCCTTTTCTCCCACCCCCGTCAAGTACGCGACAGCAGAGCACCTTGTCCGCTGGGGGTCCGTGTGGGCCCGTGGCGCTGCTCCAGGGACTGCAAGGGTAACCCACTGGGCGCGTCCTTTCCTGAGTGCACGTGTGTTCGTGTGTCCCAAGTGCGTGGGTCTGTGTGCGCGCGTGTGTGGACCCCTCGGTGTGAGTTTCCGTCTCGGTTCCCTGTTCAGGCTCCCCGCGTGCACCCCCGCCCCCACCCCAGAATAGGACCCCCTCCTCACTCCAAACCCCGGCTTCCCCAGACCGGGAAAGTTCGCTCCGGAGCCGGGATGTGCCGGAGGCTGGAGTTCCGACACCTCCACGGCCCCACCACTCACCCAGCGCCACCTGCGCCGCGGCTCCAGCTCCCGCCCGGCTCCTGCTCCAGCGCGGGCACCTCCTCGCCGCGGATCTGCCGGCTCCCAGCCAGCTCCGGGCTCCGGACTCCGGGCGCCCGCCTGGCCCGGCCTGGTGGAGCGGGGCGGGGCGGCTGAGGCCGCGCCCCCGACCCAGGGAGGGGAGTGGTCTGCCCAGCACCCCCGCAACAGCCGACCCGGTACCCAGCCCAGCGGTAGCTCGACGGTGGCCTGAGGCTGCCCCTCTGGCCTCCGACTTCACAGCTTTCTGGATTTGGTTTTCGACCTGGGGAAGGGACGAGCAGCACGTGACCGAGAACTAAACTACCTGGCCGCCCTAACCAAGTTGACGATAGGGCTTTACTGCCCCTGCCCTGCCCTGTAGGGAGCCAAACCGGGTCCACTCTCAGCTCATTCCCCGGGAACAAGGAAAACCCCTAGGAAGCAGACAAAGACGGCTCGGGTTTCACCAAAACAGACCCCGCCCCACCCTGCGGTCGGTCGGAACTGCCCTAGCAGAACCAGCACCTCCCCTCCCCCGGAGTAGGTGTCTGCCCAGGTGAGCATGTTTGCCAGTTCTGGCCCCCCCACAGAGCATAGCCAGGCTTCCCTTCGACTCATAAAATTCCACCCACAGGCACAAACAGGAAGTTGCCCTGTATTGCAGGGAGGCACCTAGGGCTCCCCCCGTGGCACCCAAAGCAGCCTGTGGGAAGGCACAGACTGTGGTATCTACAGGTATCTGGGCCATACTTGCAGCGTGAGTACTTGGGCAGCAGGAGTCCAGTGAATTTAGTCTCTTCTCAAACCCACCTGTAGTAAAGAAGCTACTGGAGGACCCAAGATGCCCCCTCACAGATAAAAATGACACTAAATCTGAGGACAGGGCTGCAGATCCAGCTGGACCCTGCTTGGCCAAGCCCTTCCTGAACTCTCAGGGAGATTCTTAATATTCAATTGGATATAGGCAGAGCCCAGGTAATTTGCCTCAATCCACTCTGGTTGGGTATAGGGACGTGGCTCCCAGGGACCTTACATAGGACCCAGGGATCCCCCACTGCTCTCTAGGCTCCAGAGACTCCTGAACATACTTTAGTCTTGATGTGAGGAGTTTAAGACAGGTGTGCAAAGGAATGTGTGTAGGGGGTGTGGCTGGGGGAGCATTAACTTCGCCTCCCATCATTCTGGTTTGTGCTGTGTGGGGGAGTCTGCTAGGAGTGTAGGGCAAGACAGGCAAGTGTGTATCTATCCCTCTATCCCCAATTGGCAGAGACCTCACAAAGGCCCTAATGGAAATCCCTCAAGGATTTCCTGAGAACACACCAGGCGTTCCCAGTAGACCAGAATCCTTAGAGGTAGGAATGACCCGGTGGCGTGCATCTGGAAGGTATGGCTGACGTTCAGTGTTACAGATCCTGGATGAGGCATAGACCAGCCAGCGGCTGGGAATGATTACTGCGGGATTAGGAGGACTGGCTCCAGCCAGTCTGGGAGAGACCCCCAAGAAGGGAGGCCCTGGAGGAGCTACCCCCTCCCTCCCCCGCAGGTTCTTCCCCAGAGAACAGCTTTGTTCCAGGGTCTGTTTCAGGAGACAGTTGTAGCCACAGTTCTCACATACAACAGACCAGAGACCCCAGAGCCTTCCACAGGGCCCCAGAAGCAGCCCCCTTAGGTGGACTGGGAGAACTTGGTAAGGCAGACCTGCTTCAAGGGAGCAGGAAACCTCTGCTCACCCTTACAAAAGCCTTCTCCCCAGCCCCCTCAGAACATCTTGCATTCTGACTATCCTTGCATGCAAATCTAAAGGGAAAATGGGACTTTAGGCTATCACAGGAAGTGAGATGGGAAAGTGCCCTCATTTAGGACTATTTCTGACAAGGCCTCTAACTTTACAATCTCCTTCAGTACTTGTTAAAAATGAGGAATCCTGTGCCTTTCCTCAGACCTTCAGAATTAAAAACGTCTGTGTGCGTGTTTATTGGGGAGAGAGTAGGCCCTAGGTTCTGCATTTTTAAAGAGTCCCAGGAGTTCTGACACATACGAACGTAAGAGAAATAGTGTACAAGGACGAGGGAAATGGATGGGGAGCCAGATAAGACACTGAGCATGTGTCCACACTGAGAGGTCAGTGAGTGGCTCGTATCACCTAGGGACAGCCGGTCAGGCAGGGCCTAGGCGTGTGGCCCAGTGACCCACACCTCTGCCAGGGATTACATGGAGATCTTCAGGGAAGATAGGGATAAAGAGGCACCATCCTGTCATCCCTGAGCCAAGAAGAGGCATAAAGGGATGTGTGGGTCAAGGCCCTTTAATGCCCTTGCTTCCTTGGGAGTGCACAGCTCAAAGACTCCCTATTCAAATCAAGAGGAAAATCCAGTTATAGACTGGGGAGACATCTGGTGGACAAATAAGAAAAAACACAGAAACAAAGGCAATGGAAAATTTTTTTCAGTAAAACTAGAAAAGGCTCTACAAAAAGTCATGACTATGTCCACTCCAGTGGTCTGAGGCAGCATAACATGGAATCAGTGTCCAGGTGGCAGGCACTCTGGGTTCACAGCTTTCTTCTCCAGCCAGTTCCACCTTTGGGGCCCTGATAATACAGGGCCAAGCACCTAGGATCCAATGGTAGCGAGTGCCACCACATGGCAGGGTCCAGAGGAGGCAGCAGAGTATGATACCCACCGTGTATCACCCTGTGGCTCCAGAAACCTAGGCTGGAGTTTTGGCAAGAAGTCCTCTATTCCCTTCCAGGTTCAGGGTCTGAACCCAGGGCTTTGCACTCAATTTGCTCATTCCCACCACAGGGCCTGTGTGTCTAATTTTCCCTCTGCTTGGATCCCTCTTTCTCCAGATGTTCACATGGCTCAATCCTAGTTCTTTAGGCCCCATCTCCAGGGTCCTCTGCTTAGAGATACCTATTCAGACCTTAAACTAGCCTGTAAGCACTATTGCATTACTGTTTTTTCTTCATAGTATATCTCACCGTTTGACACTGTTTTGTATTATTTTTCTTGTCTCCCTTACCAGATCGTGGGTTCTAGAGAAGCAGGGGCCTCACCTGTCTTGTCAGTGCTGTATACGGCACACTGGAGGCTCTCAGATATCTGTTAAATTGCATTCTCTCAGGATGGAATTCTGCCCTAGGTTAGGCCCCTCTGACGGAGGAGGGTCCCTAGCTTAGGACCACAGGACAGAGGTAGCCTTAGCAGAGGGCTAAGAAAGTCTGTGTCCCAGCCTGTTTTGTCAGGCTCATTTCAGTGTCCAGCTCTGCACTGCCTTCACCTTGAGGGCTTGGAGGGGTCTGGCTGGTAGGGGTGGTGGGCCTGACCCAAGCAAGTCTTGGAGTTCTGGGGCACAGCCCCCTTTTTGCCAGAAGAAGGCTTTTTGGTCACTAGCCCATTGTCATCCTTGACCTTCTTAAGCCGAGCCTTGCTCTTTGGTGGTATGGAAAAGGTGAGAGAGCTCTTGTTGAATTCCAGTGGGAAGACACCTACATCTCCATCAAAGCGGTTCTTGGATACCTGCAGATACCGTTTCCCTGGACCAGTTACCAGCTTCCTGTCCTGTAGAATCAGAACGTTGTCCGCTTCTTGGCTTGCCTGGGGGATGGGGGCAGAAGGAGGAAGAGCAGTGAGAAGCAGAAAGAAAGGCTGAAGGTCCAGGGAAGAATGGCAAAGCTCCCTGAACTACTGACCATGATGATGGGGCCACCTGTCTTTCAGTTCCTTGACTACCTCACTGCCCCGGACTCCTCTGCTTGTGACACTTCTCCACAGCTCACCACCCCACTCAACCCCAGCTTCTTATCGTTCAGGTCTCGGTCTGAATGTCACACTTCATCAGAGACCATTCTTGATCCCCATAAAGAAAGAACCACCATCTTTGCACTTCTGTGTCACTCTCTTCCCCAGCTCCATGTTTGTTCCATGGTGGCATAGTTTGTGCTCCTCACCCTGGATTCCCTGTGCCCAGCCCAGGCCTAGCATGTAACAGGCACTCAGCATATCCCTGGAAGCTCCAGGACCGCGTCGGTCCTGCTGCCCAGAAAGCCCTCCCATTTATTCGATTATTTAACACTTACTGTCTGCCAGAACTCAACCCAACCTCTTTTGATACCTCCTCTCCCCGAATGGGCAAGGAAGTCTCTCCAGATGTCCAGGCTGACTCAGATGTCTCATTGTTCCCCAAATACCTATGTTGCCTATCATAGCTCTTATACTGAGTTATAATCACTGTCTCACTATTTTCCCCACTGGACGATGTGAACTCCGATGTGAAGGCAAAGGACCAACTATTATCAGCCTTTATATTCCTAGCACATGTGTTCCTCATGTCATGGCCCCAGAGGCAGCTGTCTCCTGCCTCTTCCAGGTGGACAGTCAAGATGATTTAAGGCTGAATGAAGGCCATCCCTGGTCACACCTGTCCCCTCTACTCCCCAAAACTTGGGCTCCTCTAAAGGCCACTTACTTTGGCTGAACCAAAAATTGATGCTGTCTGCAGTTCCTTATCATCATCCTCCTTCCGGGGATGAATGACCAGTGTCACATGGCAGCTATTGTCTGTTGCAAACTTTCGAAAGGCCCCAACGATGTAGTCTTGAGCTGCAATCCTGCCCCAACCCCATCAAAGTAAAGACATTATCAGACACAGAGAGAAGGACAAGAACATACCCACACGCAATTCATTCACATCTCCCCACAAACCGCCCCAACCCACTCTACCCAAGGACTCACACTTAGGTCCCTATCCATACTTCCTACTGCCACAACCCACACCTCTATGAGACAGAAATACGTATGGGGTGGTGTGTGCAAACACACATGTCAGAAAACAAAAGAGTACAGTGTGCATGCCTAGGGGCCAACTGCATGAGAAGAATTGCATGTTCAAGTGGGTTCCAGAGAGACAAGAGGATGTCACCTGTCTGTGGACAGCTGCTCATGCCCCATCATGAACTGCAGATTGTCGATGACCACATGACAAATGTCATAGACGTATACTGCATGTTGCATTGTGTCTATTACAGTCCTGGGAAGAGGAAAAGGCAATGAATTCAAGAGTCAATTATAAGTAGTCTCTTTAAACCATCCCAGCAGAAAAGCCAGCATTCCTGAAAATTCTGTTGGGGATCTGTTCTCCTGCCCTTCCATTCTTTGAAAACCCTAGGCCTTGGAATCTTACCTGATGCTCTGCTGCCCATGAAAAGTCATGAAATAGAGAGGCAAGTCCTCAAAGCGGTCTGCCCACTCGTCGTATTTGTCCAGTTGCTCTTCTAGCCGCCCCACAGCGAACTGTGTCAGCATGACCCGGGCTAGTCTCACGTTGCTGATCTCAAAGCTACCCCAGAGTGTGTTTACCCCCTGGGTACACAAATCCAGGGCATACTCACTGATGAATGTCGTCTTTCCACTGCCAGTTGGCCCTGCAGGGGGGTTGAACACAGACCTGGGTGAGGGAGGAAAGTTCTACCCTTAAAACCAAGACCTGGAGCAAGGGCTTCAAAGTTGGGAGAAACCTCCTCTTTAAGATTTGCCATGGCCCAAACCCACATGCTTTTGTCGCCTGATCCTTTGCCTCTTACCCCAAGTAGTGATTTCCCAAGGGCTCACCTGTGAAGACTGTCAACTCCCCCTTCCGATGTCCCTTCAAGAGACGATTGAGGTCTGGGAAGCGGTTCCAGCGGATGCCAGCTGCCTGCTCCACATTTGACAGTTCTCCTAGCACCTCCTCCCGAAGCTGCCGGAAAGACACGATAGACTTGTGCCACGCAGGCAGGGCAGTACGCAGAATACGAGAAAGATTTAAGCCTTGGTTCAGGGCCTCCAGGGCACGGGGCTGCTGGTCCCCAGGCCGTACCAAGGAGCATCGCTTGGGATTCAGTTTTCGGGCAAACAACTTGGCAGCTTCCCAGGACCGAAGGTCATCTCCCAGCCAGAGCACAATACGTCGAAACTGTTCAAGGTAAGGGAGCAAGGCAGGGGGTAAGCAGGCAGTTCCTCGGGGTAGGGCAAGGGTGGGCAGTCCTGTGGATTGGTTCAAGGCCAGGCTGTCCAGCTCTCGACCTGTCAGTACCACCTCAACATCTCGCCGACTGATCAGTGGTAACCCAAACAGATTGTGGTAGACACCAGGCCGGGGAATGGTGGTTTCCTTATAGTGCACTTCATCTCCCTGGACTTCAGCACTTAGTAGCTTCAGGCCTCTTAATCCCAAACCTCCAGGGGAGAGCCAAGGGAAGACAAGGCTGCGAGCAGGCCGCAAATACCGCACACTGAAACGCCTGAGTATGTCATCTGTCACTTTGGTAAGGCCAAACATCACACGAGCCAGCTGGGCCTCCTCTGGTTCGGGCAGCTCCCAGAGAGGTATGGCTCGGTCCCAGATCCTCTGGACCTCCTCACTGTCCTTAGCTTCTGGGGCCTCACCAAGCAGGACCCCCTCTCTGGCCCCATCCCCTCGCCCCTCCACGCTGGCCTGGAAGTCTTCCCAGCTGCCCTCTGCTAGGCTGGTCATGCAGAGAAAGCGGCCTGTGGTCTTGTCAATGAAAAGGCTGAAGGAAGCAGTAGCACCAGTCTGGTCCTTGAGCTGCAAGGCCTTCACAAAGGGGCTCGGTGCCCGCAGGCAGCTGTGGCCATCCTGGAAGGAGATCCCATGTGCCCTCAAATATTGGCGGATTTCAGTTGCAGTTACAGGCAACACTGGTACCTCCAAGGCTGGGAGAGCCTCCTTCCTGTACCGTCTTCGAGGAGAGCCTGGGACCAAGCTTCTGGGCAGGCCCCTCCGACCCATCCACTCCCCACGCAGGGGTAGCAGGATACGGAGGGGGTACCCACCTCGAAGGAGTACCCACATTCCTAGTCAAATCGAGGAAGTCACTAATTGAAATGCTTTCCGTCCCTGGTTTGGGTGCCTTCGCTAGGTCAGACCCTAGGGATCCTCTGCACAGCACACTCTACAGAGCCCACTCGAGGTGGCTTCTTTCTTCCAACTTGTCCCTCATAAACATCTCTCTGAACCCTCGTCAGCCCCTCTGCATTGCTACTTCACATCTACGCCCATCTTTCACGTCCGTGGGCCTCTATCCGGCTCTCCACCTCTATGGCCCCGTACAGCCACCGCCTCACCGCTCTACTTTCTCTAGATCATCTCTTCACCGCTCCCGCCCGGCCAAGGGATCTCCTCGTCGTTGCCATCTCTACCGCCGCCTGCGTCGTTCCAGACCCCACCGCGCTAGCCCCCAAGGGGAGGCCCTCTTCGCCGCTCCTTCCCTCAAAGGGGACTCGCCACGACCAGAGCGCCACCGGGCGGCTCCCGCCAGTCCCCGCGCTCACCTCGCCCCCGCGTCCTCCCTCGGCTCTTCTGACAGAAGCTGCGCGGCTCGCGACCCGGACCGCGCGTCACTACCCTCCCCTCGCCCCTCTCGCCCGCAACGCGGTTCACTGGCGCGCCTCGCGCCGCGACCGCGGAAGCAAAACTCCCGGCCGCGGGTGTTCCCGGAACCGGAAGCTTCGGCGTTCGTCTCGCTCCCCTCCCCCGCCGCCCCTCCAGGCTGGCCTGCGCGACCTGGGCGCTGCGGCCATGACGGCGCGCGGGACCCCGAGCCGCTTCCTGGCCAGTGTCCTCCATAACGGGCTGGGGCGCTACGTACAGCAGCTGCAGCGTCTCAGCTTTAGCCTCAGCCGCGATGCGCCGTCGTCTCGTGGCGCCAGGTGAACTGGGCGAAGGGCGCGGGGTGCTCTCCGGGCTGAGGTCGCCCCGGGTCAGGGGTCGCTGTGCTTACTCTTCTCGGCTTCGTCAGGGAGTTCGTGGAACGAGAGGTGGCCGACTTCGCCCGACGGAACCCGGGGGTCGTGATATACGTGAACTCGCGGCCGTGCTGTGTGCCCAGAGTAGTGGCCGAATACCGTGAGTGGGGCCGGACGAGGGCTGGAGGGCGCCTGCGGGCGGGTTGCGGGGGTGGAGACTGGGCCCGCTCGCCTTCCTCTGGTCTGACCCCTGATCCGTCCGCTTCCTCTCTTCCGACCCCCTTCCTTCGGCCAGTTAACGGGGCAGTGCGCGAGGAGAGCATCCACTGCAAGTCAGTCGAGGAGATTACGACGCTGGTGCAGAAGCTGGCGGACCAGTCGGGCTTGGACGTGATCCGCATCCGCAAGCCCTTCCACACGGACAGCCCTAGCATCCAGGGCCAGTGGCACCCCTTCACCAACAAACCGACGACGTTGGGTGGGCTGCGCCCGCGAGAGGTCCAAGATGCTGCCCTAGCCCAGGCGCAAGTGCCATGAAGAGGTGCCCACCAACTCCAGTACCCAGGCTTTGGACTCTTACCCCAGTGGAGGTGGTTCTTCCTCTTTGGGTTCAGGGGATTCCAAGCCCACACAGGCAGATAGAGCCCACCAAAAGGGAAACTGATGCCAAAGCTTTTGCTTGGGATAAAGAAGAGCTGTCTTTTCGTTGCTTATGAGGCAGGGCAGTGACTTTGTTCGTCTCCTAATTCTTCCCCATTTGATATCCCTGAAACCTGACTCTTCAAGGATATTACAGGCATTTATTTCTGAAATCCAGATTGATAACAGTGATCTCAAATCCCAGCGAGCGCTTTCAAGATTGGCATCTGAAGAATCCCCCGTGTCCTTTTTCTGTAACCATTGAGCTAGAGAGCTAGCATCTTCCACCCTGCTGTGGACCTGGCATTAGGATAATCACTTTATATCCGTGTGAATGTTTAGATTAGAAAACTGAGGTTAATAAACATGTTCGAGGTTACACTTGAGGTCTTCAAAATATGTGTAGATTTTAAATATAACCTCACTTTTCGTTATCCTAAAACCAGAAGCGGAACATATAACCCTTCAGGATGGTTAGTATCAAAGGCCATGTGATTAATCTAGTCCTGACCCTTGGAGAGTGATTCTCAGGTCAGATCTGTGGTAACAAGCTTGCCCTTGTCCTAACTATTCCCCAAGACAGGCCCCTCTGCAGAAAGGAATTCATGTTGTCCTTTGTTGGGGGAGGGGAGGTACTGAAAAGCTTCTTGTGGACAAGCAAGAGAAATAAACAGGGAGCATCTTCTAGGCTTAGCTAAAACAAGGGGGAGGAATGGTGAGGAAGAGAGTCAAGAGGTAGAAACCTAGAAATCTTTGTATGAATTCTTGAACAGCTGTAATTTTGTCATGCCCTTATCACCATGCTCAGTGAGTGGTGAGAACCTTATAAAGGCCTGTGTACCTGCCCAGGGTATAGCCAGATGGAAGCTGAGGATCCCAGTTTTCTCTGCAAATGGTTTTATAGGGAGCAGAGCCAACCCTGCAGCACTGTTTCCATAGGCTCAGAAGCCTGCCCCCTGGTGATCAGGGAAGGCCAATCTAGACCAAGCGGAACACACATAGCTGTGGGGAGAGAGGGTATTTATTAACCAACAGGAGGGGGAGGAGCTGAGCCCAGGCTCCCCACTCTGTCTCATGCCTGTTCTGCCCACCTGGGTGGTGAGTGGGGGCATTCCTAAAGAAGTATAGCTGTTCTCACAATAAATACATTCATTGTGGGGTGGAGGTGGGAGAGATTGGGTGAAGGGCAGTAAAAATCCGTGGGGATTCCACGTTCTCGGCTACAAAAATAACAGTCATCCTCACCCAAGGAGAACGGGGGAGCTCAGTCAGGATTTGATTGTCCGATATCAATGGAAACTTCAGAGGCCCCTGGACCCTGAAAGTGCCCCGGTGAGGTAGGACAGGGATGGGAGCCAAGCATCCAAACTCCCAGCCTCTGCCCTTTGCATAGTTCCAAGAACGGGCTTCATGTGCCAGGTTGATGAGACCTCAGATCTCCCCCTGCTCTGGTCTAGGGGTAGCAAATGCTTGGTCCCCAAAAGGGAGGCTGGCTCATTGCAGTGTTGGTCACCCGTCCTAGGGAAATGTCCCTAGGGGGACAGCTGAACAGGAGAGGGCTCTCCCTCTGAAATGTCCATGGACCAAACCCAACAGATACAGGTCTGAGGCAGCAAAGGGAGGCTCAGAAATACATGTGGAAATGTAAGCACATGTGCGTGAAGGGACATGCCTGGGGCTCTGTCTGTCACTCTTGAGAGTGACCAAGGGGGTGGGGAGGCTGACTCACGAGGGCTGCACATTAAGGAAGAAGAGGGGAATGACACAGTCTCACAGTCTTACCTCCCCAGGCTGGCCTGTTCCCAAGCTCTTGCCAAAGAGGTCACCACATGGGGTTGGAACTAGGGGAGAGGACTAGATAGGATGGGATGTGGCAATAGGAAGGGTACCCAAAGTCCAGGAGAGATGAAACACAAGAATGCACCAGGAGATGGGGGTGGGGGCCCTGCAGCCCAGCTGATGGACATTCATCCATGTGCACGTGTGAATGTACGCAGGGCTCAGGTGGCTCTGGTGGCTGGCAGAGGTCTCGTCTGGTTTCGGGACCGTCCAGCACATAGGGCCATGCAGAGGGTGGTGACATGGAGGTCATCTGGACCTGCAGAGCCCTGCCTGGGAGAAAGAGGAAGGGTTTGAGCAGACAAATGGGGCAGGAGAATGGCATCCTCTCCTCCCAAGTGCTTGGGTTAAGGGAATAGGAATTGGGACTGGGTCTACAGAATATCAGGTCCTGAGGGAGTACCCACCTCTGAGGAGCACCGGTTGGCCTGGGCTGCTCACAGATGGGTCTGTGGAGACTGAGGAGGGGGCTTTGGCTGGGCCTGACTCTGCCAGCCCTACAGGGACATCAAAAAGTTGGGAGAAGGGCCTGGAGTTGGGGAGGGGGGTGAAGGTAGAGTGGCTGTGTTGGGGAAGCAGCAGCCCGGCCTGGGGCAGACAGGCTGGCTTGGAAGAGCATTTGTCCTAGGAAGCTGGGCTCAGACAGAGCTCTCATCCAGGTGCTCTACGAGTTGCGTGTGTTTCCTCTTCTCCAGGATGCGGCTGAGCTCCTCGGCAAATGAGCAGGGCCCTGCTGGCACTCCATTGTTGCTCTGCCTCAGGAGCACGTAGCTGTTGCCGTTCATCCTGCGCAGCCGGCTGGGCAGAGCCACCAGCCCATTGGTCAGCTCAGCCGGTGGGGGTGGGGGTGGTGGAGGCGGTGGGGCTGGGGCTCCCTCCCCAGGGATGATCTGGAGGCAGCCACCTTCCAGTCCCCCAGGCCCCTCCCCATCATCACCCTCATCTTCCTCTCCAGGACACTGGCCTGAAACAGTCTGCAACTGCACAGCAGAGCCCCCTGCCCGGCCAGCCCGACCCAGAGAGTATTTCCTTCGACGCCCTCGTCTGCCTCCCTGAAGACAGGCCACATAGAGGAGGGAGGAAGCTAGGATGAGGCAGAGGCCGCCAAGGGCAGCGATGGCTAGCACATAGAGCAGCCTCACGTCAGGGGCCAGCTGTGCCCCAGGCATGGCAGGGGCTTGTGGAGCTGGGGCAGGAGTGGCCGGCCGGACTGTGAGGCTGTAGGAGGCCAGCAGGGTGCGGAGGCCATTCTCCTCAGCATAGCAGCCGTAGTTGCCACTGTGTTCAGGCTGTATGTCTGTCACCAGCAGCCCATCCACACCCACGCGGTAGCCATGCTGCCCATCACTCAGGCCCATGCTCCCATTGAGCAACCACAAGGCCCGGGCCAGGTTGGATGGCTGGTCACAGGGCAGGAGGACATCATCCCCTCGGAGCACAGAGCGGGTTTTCAGTGGTGGTGGTGGTCCTGGAGGGGGGTGAGAAACAGGACTGGTCAATGCTTGTCTGTCTCAGGGAGGGCACTGGAGATGGCAGGCCAGATGGTTCACTGTTAGCGTCCCTAGCACCAAGCACAGACTCTGGAATCACGGTGACAACTGACCAAGGTCTCCTGCACTCATGCTCCCATGTAAGGTTCGCACTGGCCCTTCCTAGTGGTTTCAGTTCCTGCTACCTGCCAGTGATTGGTAATCTCGACCTCTAGCCCAGGGTTCTCTCCTGACTGTCAGACTCTAACATCTTCCACCTGCAGGGCATCTCCGTGTGAGGCCTCTTGGACATACGGCACAGGAACTAAGGCCAAAGCCTCCCTCCCAAACTATACCAGGTCTTTTCCTTGAATTGTCATCACAGTGAATGGCACCACTAGCTACTCAGCTGCTTAAGTCAGAAAGACACCTGGGAGTCTCCCTTGCCTCTCTCTCCCCTTCACCGCTCTATCTAACCCTCACCAAGATTCTGCTTCCAGACTCCATCTCAGACCTGTTCACTTCTCTCCTTCCCCAACTGGGGAAGCTGGCCCACTCTGGCTCCCATCTAATCCATTCTCCATGCAGCAGTGGGGTATCTTTTTAAAAACACCATACTGATTATGCCGCTCCCCTCCCTCAACGTGGTCCCTGCCCACTTCTCCAGCCCCTTCTCAAACACACCAAGCTCATCTGCCTGCTGTTCCTTCTGCTCGGGTGTCACCCCCCTCTCTGTGCCCTCCACTGGTTCACTTGGAGGAAAGAGCACAGCAGTGATGAAAAGCACAAACTCCAGTCAGGCTGCTTGGGGTCAGGTTTGAATTCTGACCCTGCCACTTAATAGCTTATTAATTTGGGTAGTTTACTTATTCTCTCTGGACCTCAGAGAGCTTGCCCCTCATGGGGATGGGGATCGTGGCACCTGTCTCCCAGGGATGCTGGGAGAGTAAGTGAGATCATGTGTGTAAGTGTTCAGTCAGCACCTGTCACGAGTAAGTACTCAGTACATGTTCGCTGTGGCGATTAACTTTTGCTCTTCAGGCATCAGCTCAGTCATCTGATTTTCCTCAGGGAAGTACCCATTATGCTTCAAACCCTTGTCATAGTTGTTAGTATTCCTTTTGTAACAAAAACCAATGAAATAATTATTTGGGTGATCATTTAATTGTCTGCCCCCCCCAACTTGGCTATAAGCTGCAGAAGTGACAAAGACTTCACGTCTTGAGCCTGTCTCCTCATTTACGGGTCTTTTGGGTAACAACCGTCTGTGAAGCACTTACTCTGCCACACTCTGCTGGGACGTCCTGGACGGAAGCCCACAGACGCGGCCGTTCGGAGCCACACATGCACAGGTAAATGACAATCAGTGTAGAGGGGACGGGCTGTGCAGCCTGTGAAGGTCACTTACCTGTGTCCCTGTTGCCTTCGCAGCCTCGGTTGCCTCTCTCCATGTCCTGTATCAGGGCTGTCCTGGATTCAGGGACGGGGGAACCGAGCTTTAGTTTTCCCTAGCGGCAGCATCCGTGGGGCTGTCGCCAACGGCCCCCACGGCCCCCACAGCCGGCAGGCCTTTCTCCCCCCTCAGGCCCTGATTCCCCGCTAACGTGGGACCCTCACCCCCCCACCTCTCACCTGCTCCCCTGGGACCTGCTGAATACGGTGCAGGCATGGGTGCTGGGGTCCCAGCCACAGTAGGGGTCCCGGGCCAGGATGCAGTCATAGCAGGAGCGGTAGCGGGGGCAGCTCGACAGTGGTAGCTGGATGACTCCACTCGGGGCCCCCACGTAGAGGCTATGCTGGGAGCCAGAGAGCAAAGCTGGTTGGCAACACCCCCAACTCCCACCTACAGACACACACGGCCACTGCCCAGCCACCCACTCCCTCCCGCTATTCTGGCAAAGCCATACTGAGGGTCATGAGTCAGAGGCTACCTGCATTGGAGAGATGACCAGATTTTCCACAGACTGGGGCTCCTCGAACACTTGCGTCTCTTCGATAATGTGCATCCCAGAGCCCAGCACCACGGCCTTGTGGATCCAGCCATCGACTGGTACGGAGTGGACAGAGTGTCAGAACCCAACAGTGGAATCTGGTTTTGGTCCCCTGCAATAGCCTAATGGGAGCAGCTCGGGAGTCATGAGATCAGGGACAAGGACTCAGGCAGTAGCAGTTCCTCATGGACACTGGGAACTCTGGGCTAGTCATGGCAGAAATGACTGGGTTCAGAAGCATTAGTGATCAGGGTCAAATATCACTGTGTTTGGTGACAGGATTCAGCAGTTACCCAGAGCCAGTGGTCATCGGGGACCAGTAGTGAGTGTTCAATGAAGAATCAACATCAATGGCCACCAGGGTTTTGTGATCAAAAGTCATCCAAGGGATTAGCGGTCAACGAGGATCAAGGACTCAGTTACCAAAGGGCTCAGACCAGGGGTCAGAAGTACCTGTGCCCAGAAAGAGCAGGTCATAGGTGGGCCCGGCAGGCGTGGTGACAGGCGTCCCTGTGAGGTGTGTATAGCGCACATTGCGCTTGAGCAGCAGGGGCCGTCCGCGTGTGGGCACCACGGGCCGGGCCATCAGTGGGTGCAACTTCACAAAGTCCAGGACCAGGGATGGCAAATCCTGGGATGAGTTGTAGCCGCGGGTGCGCAATGAATCTGTGATGCACTGGGGTGGGGGACAGAGGTGGTGAGCCTCAGGAATCTACTGCCTGCCCGTCCCCCGCCACCCCCAAGGCTAGATCCTTCTGCCCCTCCCAGGGGTTCTGTCCACCCAGCGCCGACCCTAGGCTTGGGCACTCACTGAGCCAGGCCGGGGCTCTGGCACTCCACCCTCATAGCGGCCCCAGCGCCGGGCACCATCCTGGTACTCCATGTAGGGACCTGCGAAGACAGCCTGCACCTCGGCCAGGTCGTAGCGGCAGATGGCTGAGGCCTCTAGGGTCTTCCTAGGAAGGGACATAGGGGAAGGGGCTGAGCCACACTGAGTGGAACCTGCCCCCCTGCCACCTGCCCAGCCTGAAGCCCGCTGTTACCCTGGCCGACCCCAGCTCTAGGCCTCAGGGCCTCTCCTGAGGGTCAGTAGGCCACTGTGGCCTCTGGCCCCAGGCTAACTGAGTGTACCTGAAAGTCTCTCTCTGCAGCCAGCCTCCCCACAAGGGATCCTATTGTATCCTCACTGACCTCTGCTCAGCCCCCATGCTGTCCCCAGTTCCTCCTCTCCCCACTGTCCCTGCACTGACCACTGTGTGGTCAGCGTGAAGGCCGCATAAAAGTGCGTGCGGGCTGAGGCGTCAGCGTCCAGGCTGCAGACAGCACGTAGCATCTCATACTGGGGAATGTGGCAAATGAGACGCGCCTTTAGGAAGGAGGTCCACTTCTTCTGCAAGATCTTCTTTCCTCCCAGGTCTCCCTGGGGAGGCAGGGGCACAGGGTCAGCGTCAGAGGTTCAGCGTCTACACTCTTGCCCTGAGCTTGGTCCTACTCACCTTGCACACACGGGCCACACGGGCCACACGGTGGCTGTTGCGGCTCTGAGCAAAGCTGTTGGGGACCTCGTCAGTGGCACGCTCCGTGAAGAAGTAGTAAACCTTGTCGTCATCACCCACTGCACTGGCCTCGCTCTCCCGCACCAGGACCGAGAAGACAAACTCAGCATCTGTGGGTTGGACAGTTCAAGTGGCCTCTGAGACAGGCTGGGGATGCCCTCCACCACCACCCCTCAGTCAGCACCACACAGGAATAGACAGCTTCACCTGGGAATTTAGGGAGGGGACGGTCAACTGCCCAAGGGAGTAAAGATGAAGAAACAGTCCCTGCCCACCCCCCCCCCGCCCAGCATCCTGTGCCTCAATCTCCTGACCGTTGAGCCAGTGCATTGGTGCCTCCTCAGTCCTCAGGGCGTGTGGGTGGCGGCTCCGGCGGATGTCAGGGATGCTCCGGAATTCATACCGCGTGGCTGTGTAGAGGCCTCCATCTGGAGCAGAGACATGCTAAGCATGAGACATGTCACATACAACAAGGCGCATAACACACACGGGTGGCAAGTCCTAGCAACGGGATCCGTGTCCCACAAGCAGCACGCTGGTGGGTGAGGGGCCGGGGTGGGGAGGACAGCATGTTCACCAATGACGAGGCCTGTGAAGCCACGGGCTGGGTCGTAAGGACACTTCTCCTTCCCCTCTTCGAAGCTTGTTGGCAAGGTGAAGGCCTCAGCATCCTGGGGGAATATGGGGCCAGAAGTCAGTGGTCTCCAGGACAGGCAGGGGTGTGGCCCAAGGTCAGACCAGTCTGGGGCCACGGGCCAGGGGCCAGGGGCCTGGGACCAGCAATCAGGGCTGGGACAGGCATACTCACAATGGCTGCACAGAGGGGCTGGAAGGCATGAGTCCCACATGCGTAGAAGTGGGTGGTGTTGAGCCGCTGAAGGAATCGCACATGGTTGAAGCATTCCGTCTGTGGGGTGGGTGGGGGAGGGCTGAGCCCCCAGCCTGCTTAGAGGCCTTTTCCATTAATCAAAATTCCAGCTTTGTCGTCCAGCTCTTGCCCCCCCCACGGGACGTGGTTCTTTCTGAGATCCCAGTGGGCCTGCTCACTGTCCGGGACACAGACTACTCCCTGGCACTCACTGTCCTTTGGCTTCCCAGTGGCATGAGCCCTCTTCTTGCTTCTCTCTCACTGTTAGGATTACCTGAAACACTTAGCCAGCTTCTCCTGCATTACCCGCAGGCCCCTGCATCCCCAGTCCTGGGGCCCCCGGGGCTCCCGCCACCCTGAGATGCTTCTCTCACATCTCCTTCTCAGCAGTGCCCCCGTCCTGGAGCCCCCACATACCCTTTGGGGTGACACTACCAAATCTATCCCCAGGCTCTGGCCCTCTCTCCATCTGATAGTCCACGGACACATCAAACTCACCTCGTCACAAACCAAGCTCATTCTGTCCTCCCTAACCCGCATCTTCCCTCCTAAACCTGTTCATCCAGTCTTTCCCACCTCATTCCATCCATCCATCCTATTACTCAGTCTAGATACCAGGAGTCAGGCTTGCTGCCTCCCACTCCCTCACCCTACATTCAGTCCTTCTCCAGGATTCTTTGTCGTAAGTGTCTCCTGATGTAGTCCACTTCCCCTTCACCTCCACCACCCTAGTCCACGTTACCGCTGTCACCTCTTCCCTGAACAAATTTAGGGACTGCCTGACTGTTCTCCCAAGCCTCTGCCACTCTATAAAGCTACCTATTTATCCAGTGAATGAGGAATACATGTATGCAGTGTAAAATTCAAAAGGTACAAAGGGATATGTTGTAAACAGAGCATCTCCTTTTATCCCTGTTGCCTTCAAAGGGGACTGCTGTTACCGTTGTCTACAGTCTCCTTCCAGAGATATTCTACCCATCAGCACCCTCTGGTAACCCACTTTCCAAGGCATATTTTAAAAATGTAAACCAAATCATGTCACTGCTGTATTTAAAAAAAACTTTGGTGGCTCACCAGAGTCCTGAACATGGAGTCCCACCACTTCTGCCCCTGCATGATAGGGCTCTGCCCCTTCCTCACCCCCTCCAGCCACACTGCTCTTCTCTGCCCATTAAATGCGGTAAGCTGACACCTTGACTTCTTTGCCTTGTTAATGATTCTTCCTCCTACCTGTTACCCAGAGTTTGAATCCATGCAGACCCCTTTGTCTCATCCCATTCCCTCCCTCGGTGTATCTGTCCCTTCTCTCCACTAGCCTGCTCAGGTCTCCCTCCTCCGACCCCCATGATGCTCCCAACCGCCCCCCACCCCATGATGCTCCCAAACCCCGTTGTCTTTCCTGCCTCCAGACTCACTCTATTTTAATCCTTCTAGTGCTTGGGGCAGGATTAATATTCCTGTAGTAGTGTTTCCCCAAGATGCTTACATAAGAAAAGGGGGGTGAGGGAGGAACTCTGTGGTCAAATAAGTTGGAAATCATGGCTAAAACTTGCCTCTCCAGGGGATTTTTCAGAGCCTTAAGGATGTTGCTGTGCATTGTGGGATTGAGCATACAGCACTTCCCAAACTCATGTGACCATTAAGCCCTTCTTTTGAAAATTAGCGTTCCTCAGAACATGCTTTGGGAAGTGTTGTCCTAAAGCTTTGCTACCTCAAGTGTGGCTTAGGAACCGGCAGCATCAGTTTCCTCTGGAAGCTTGTTAGAACTGCCGAATCTTGGGCCCTTCCCCAGGCTTACTGAGTTAGCATCTGCATTTATAACATACCCTGGGGCTTCATGTGCACACTAAAGTTGGAGAGTCTATAAAGTACCAAGTGATGAGGGTGTCCGTTGTCACAGGGTAAAAGCCATCCCCCGAGCTGGGCACTTACAGTGCTCTGTGACCTGGGTTCCACTTGCCTCACCAGCCCCGCTTTCTGCCCATGCCACATGCTGTACCAGCAGGCATCTTTGATGGAGTCTCTTAGAGGGGCCTCTTTAAAGTTTTATTTGTTTTATTTTAGAGGGAGAGAGCATGAGCGGGTGGAGGGGCAGAGGGAGAGGGAGAGGGGAAGCAGACTCCTGCTGAGCGGGAGCCCCAGGAACCAGAGGAGCCTGAGGTGAGTGGGGAGTCCGAAGCAGGGCTTCATCTCACGACCCTGAGATCATGACCTGAGCTGAAACCAAGAGTCAGACATTCAACCTGACTGAGCCACTCGGGCGCCCCCAGAGGCATCTGTTCCATAGCCTGACCTGGGACCCCTGCAAACACCCTGTTCTTTAGCCAGAAAGAGCTAGCAATTCACTACCACCCCTCCATGGTGTACCAGGTACTTGAGCGATTCCTTGACCAAACCTCATTTTTTACATCTGTAAAATGGAGGATAAAACTACTTCATAGGGTTATTTTAGAATTAGGAGAGATAACAGCTAAGTCAGCATTTACTAGAGATTACTTATTGCTCTCATGATTATTATTCAGGAGCCCATAAGAGATTAAGAGGGCACTATAGGCCAAACCGGTAGGTCACCAGATGCTTGGCTTAGAAGTGCTGCACCTAGGGCCTGCCACTCCGGCTACACTCACGTGTTTGTTGTGGTTGCTCCAGCTGACTGGCTGATCCATACCTCTCCATCTGTGTCCCCACCAACCCTGACATCCCCAAATGAAGAGAAGGAAAGGAGCTGGGGACAGGGCAGACCACATACCTGGTTGTTTTTCCCTTTCTGATGACATTTGCTTTGCATCTCTGGGGAGGCCTCCCAGCGGATCTGGAGACGGGGAAAGGAATGGGCTGATGTGCTAACCCCAGTACCCTTGTCTTTCACCATTGTCTGTGGGACCAGGTGACAGGACTGCAGGAAATAGGGGAAACTGAGGTGCAGAAGTTTCAGGAGTGCCATTGGATGGTAAAGGAGACCTGGCTTGGGAAGGGCAGTGCTATCTGACCAGAGGGCTATAAAGCTGGAGACCTTCCAGGTACTCCAGGCTCTGGGGGCTAACCTCTTTGTGAGCCCCATCTCCTATGTCACGGGCATTGAGAGAGAACAGGGCACCTCGGGCTCCAACCAGCAGTCTTGCGGAGGACTCCTCCAGTAGCAGTGTTGAGTAGTTCTGGGCTTGACCCTTGAAGTGCCGGGTCCTGGAGAGCTCTGGAGAGTGGGAGCAGTGAGCCCGGCCCTGGGGCTGCCTCTCTACTCCCAGACCTGGCTCCCGCTGCCTTTCCAAGTTGGGGGAGGGGTGTCTAACCTTCATAGGGGATGGTCATCCGCGGGGTGGCATCTAGTTCTCTGGATGGCCTCCGCAGTGAGGGTCCAGGGACAGCAGTTGCTGTGAGGAAGCTCAGGAAGAGGGGCCAGAGCCTCCCCCACATCTTCCTTGGGAGGCCCAGACCAGTAAGACCCCCAAGGGGAGCCAAGGCCAGAGTCACAGGGGATGATGGGAAGAACAGTCACGGGGGTCAAGGTCCAGAGAGGTCACTTGGAAGGTCAGGGGTCATGGGGCCAGGGAGGGTCCTGGAATCGAGGGGACATGGAATCACAGGGTTGTGTGGCCATGGAATCCCAGGTTAGAGGTCAGAGGGAAGGATGGATCACACACTGCCTTTCTGCATCAAATACAAACTCCATGGTGGGAGGGAGTTGTAGGGTCATACAGGGGTTGTAGGTCACTGATGGGGTCACCCTGCCCCGACAGAAGGACTAGTCCTGGTTCTCTGAGGTCCGTTTTCTGAAGAAAAAACAGGAAGAAAAAAAGCTCTTTTATCTGTGTGTGGGTAGAAGGTAGATGGCATTACCCCCAGACTTCAGGGGGCACTGGTGGGAGAAGGCCCACAGACTCCCACATCAGGATCAGCTCACTGTCATTCTGTCTACCTCTCTGCTCTGATGCAAGTTGGGCAGAATTTGCCCTCCTTACAAGACCCTAGACTCCTCCCAGCCCAAACCCAAAGTAATGGCAATCCTCTGACCAAGTCAGAAGCTAAGCTAGGTCTCCATCTCGACTAGAGCTCCGTTTCAGGGAGAATGCCTTCTCCTAGCAACAGTGAGACCAAACTTGGGACAGCAGCTGCCCCTGCTGCCTGCGGGGGTGCCTTATGCAAGAAGGCTGGGCAGAGACATTTAATGGGCCTTTGTTTATTTTGTCCTGTTTTCCCTTTGTTTTTTCTTCTCCCTGGCCTGAGAGCTCCCTCTGGAATTTCTCTTTAATTAGACACTTCTCCTCCTCAGCATTCTTCTCCGAGGGGGTGCACATCTCTACTCTGCCCATGCGAGTCTGTACTGCACCCTCTGGCTAGGCATCCACACGTGCCCCTACCTGCAAACAGGCACTCATAGACATGGGGGGGGGGTTGGCATCTGGGCCCCCCTGGTTGCATAGGTGTAAAGTCTGTGCCGGAGGCTCTAGTGTGCAAGACCAGTTGAAACATAAGCAACATGGAAAAGGTGAATGATGAGGTCCCTGAGTTCTTTGCCACCTCCCCTGGCACATCTTGGAGACTATTCCCACACCGGGACACTCAAGCCAACCAGTTGGGGATGGGGTGGAAGTAGGTGACAGGCCTTCTGTGACCCCTGTAATAGGCCTGATCTCTGAGGTGGCTCTTGAAAGCTTCCTTGACTGGGCTGGGTGTGAAGGAAGCCTGATCCATCCAATTTCATCAGACACCCACAGACAGGGCCACAGGGGCCACTGGCCTCTCCCCTCCTTTCCAGGTCAAATATTAACTATGTGGCCTTGAAGAGAAGGGAAGGACCAAGAACTGGCCAGAGGGAGAACAGAAATTTGGAGCATTTATTTAAGAGGTAAAGGTCAGCACTGTAGTGGTCAGAGCCCAGAAGGGGAGAATGTAGTATGAGTGGAGAGAAGAGGGTCCTTGGACCACAGAAAGGGCATCCACTCCTTGTGTGGGGGCTGGGCAGCAGGAAGTCCCAGGCAAACTGCCCATGCCCCACCTCTCACTGTGGAGGCACACCTGTTTACCTTTGGGGCCTCCCATTTGCTTAGTGCAGAAGTGGGGGGAGCCCTATGGCTATGAGGTATCAGTCCCTAGGATTGGGCAAGAGGAACACACCCCAGGTCAGAGGAACCACTCAGAGTGTGGTTCATGGCAAAAGTCACACATAATCCAGAGAGGGGTGATGTACATGCAATAGGTGCACATACACACATGTTCACAGAAGGGCTGTGAGCACATGTACTCACAGGAGAGTCATGCAAACATACATTCACAGGGAGGTTTGTGCATGTATATGTTTATATAAAGGGCCTGCCAGATGTGTTCATACACATTGACAAATAAGGTTGTATTCACATAGTCATATCCATTCATTCAGCAGGTTACACAGCCTCAGAGATTGACAAGGAAGGTTATAAACCTACACACGTGCATACGAAGGACTGTACACCTATTCACAGAAAGGTCCAGCACATACACACATATGTGTAGGGACGTGCACACAAACCCACCAATACAGTAGGTCAGGGATGTTCATGTTCACAGAAGGGTCAAGTAAATGTGTGTTCACACAGTACTCAAACACACAATTACATGTATGCAGAGACAAGCTTCAAGCGTATGTACAAATAGGGGTCCAGTTCTCACTGCAGGCTTGGAGGCTGCCAGTATCCACTGAGGTGCAGAGCAGACCCTCCCTCCCTTCCCGAAAGTCCCAATTTTAAGGCCAGATTCTAAGTGTGTGTGTAGTGATGTGGGGAGGCATCTGACCTCAGATGCTCGGATGGGATGGGCCTCTCTGCAAAGGAGGGAGGGGGTACCTAACCCAGGCGAAAGGAGGCCCCTAGCTTTAGCAAGGGAAGGATGGAATGGAACGTGTAACTTAGCGCTGCTCTACTCCGATGTATATACTGCTGTTCTAGATGTGGGAGTTGGACAGGGGCTCTCAACCCCCATTTAACCTGTTGGGAGGGAGGGCGGGGCTAAACGGGGGGGCGGAGCTGCTGCCCTCCCTCCCCCAGTGGCCACAAGGCTTCAAGGTCTTCAGTCCACACCCCACACTCCACCCCCAGTTCCACAGTTTGGGTTCCTCCCCAGGGCCAGCCCCCTGAACTCTGGTCACCTTCTGACTATTAGATCCTAGGGCTGAAGAAACTGAGGGGAGACACCCCCCCCAAAACAGGATCGATGTTGGATCAGCAGGCTCTCGACCTTCATCCCAGATGTCCACCTGCTTAGTGTAGGCGGCATCCCCCTCTGCCCCGTAGGATGGCCGTCTTTCTGGCCTGAGAGCCCCTCCCCCGCTACCCTCTCTTCCACCATCCTGGACAGTCCGCGCGTCTTCCCTCTCCTCAGATCTAATCTCAGTCTCTACTGCTGCAGCTTGAGGACAAGCTCTCCTTCGATCCCGCCGGACGCCAGGAGACGTGACCCAGATCCCAGGGAACACTGTTCGCCACGCGGGTCCTCGCCCCGCGCGGGTCCCCGACTCCGCGGTGGCGGGTCTGCGCCCAGCACAGCCCGAGGCCTGGCCCGCGCCCCCCCAGGAGCCTTTATGCGGGACCGGGAGACTTGGCTCTGAGAAAGGCCTGGCCCAGCTTGGAGGGTGGAATGGAAGTGGGGAAGGCCTGGCCTGGCCTCCGCCCCCCGGCCTAGGCCCCGCCGCCGCCCGCACTCCCTGCCTCTCTCACCTTTGCGCTCGGATCCCTGGCCATAGAGACGGCGACGCGCTGCTCCGCGGCCCCACAGCACCAGCTGCGGGAGGAAGGGGCCGCGGCCGGAGGCGGGGTGGGGGTGGAGGCGGAGCCGGGGGTGGGGCGGGGGCTGGAAGGCGGGGCCAGGGAGGCGGGACCGACTGGGTGGCGTGCAGGGAAGGGCGCCGTTCTCTTCTTTTGCGCCCCCCACCCTACACAATAAAGGTTTGAGGTAAGACTCCCACGGCCTCCGGGCATCTGGCGTCCTCCGCCTCCAAGGGCCGTGGCCCCCGTATCGCCCCCTGGTGGTGGCCTCATCACGCCATGCGCCCTCGACAGGCTTAAAACCCACCTCTCTCCCCTCCTAGCCCTAGGACCCCTCCGACTTGTCTACTATTGGGGACTTACAAAACTGTTCTCTGGGGGCTTAACTTTCCGAGGGCCCTCTATCCTGTCTTCTAATCTGGACCTCACTTCTTGCGCGCCTGCCACTCTTTTCTGCTCTCTGCCTAGGGTGCAGTGGGCCACAGTTGGTGGAGGCCGAGCGTTGGGGCAGCTCTGAACACACAACGGGGTCTGGATTCCCAGCTCAAGAGCCTCCAGCTGCTTGGTCCTTCAGCCTGAAGTCTAAGGGGGTCGGGCTTAGTGGGATGAAGTAACGGCCTGACCAGAAGTTCACAAAGACAATGCTGTTTTTCTGGATAAATAAGCCACAAGGGTTTGCACTTGTCCACTCAACCAAACCTTATGGTAACCGGGGTTTACCTCCTCAGGGACTGGGTCACTCAGATAACTGCCTTCCCTTCCAGCTCATGTTGAACATCATTCTTACTCCAGGTCTTCCAGTTAACTCTCCTCATAGGCAATCAGATATCCTGTCCCTCCTAGGCTCAGTCACCTCACCTAGAAGCAATCTAGAAAGCCCCCCTCAGAATTAACTTCCCAACCAGGGGAGGTCCAGGATGGTCCTCCCAAGCCACCTTTGGTGCTGCAGTTTCCTGGCAACTCGGGCTATACCTTTGCCTCACGGGCTGTTAAAGACCCCTCTAGGGTTTGAATCAAACTGGGGCTCTAGCCATGACCTGGCCTGATCCTCCCCCTCCCTCATACATGACATTATTGTAGTGGGCCGAAGAGCAGGACTAAAATGCTGAAGGCTACAGGGACATAAGGTAACTGACTCTTGCATGTGCCTGAGAGTCTGAACTCTGGAGAGGCAGGGGCTAGGAGAAGAGGCAGATGCACATTGGCCTGAAGGAGGGTGAACAAGATTCAAATGGCTCTGTCATTTAACTAAAAGGACCCTGGGAAAGACATGTCATCTCTCTTTCCTGAATTCCCCAAAGCTCTGTTTGGCACTTCATCATATACAATCTCGTAGCTTGGGCTGCTGTGTGTGACTGCAGATTGCTAGACAGCAGGGCCCACGCTACACTCCCACCTCCCCCAGCACTCTGTAAATAGGATGTGTGTATGTGAAGGGGGAGGTAGCTGGGGAGAAATGCTTATGTTAAAGTGTACACACACTCTCACAAAGACTACCCAGCTTCATTTTAAAAACTGTACCCTCATTCTATCCTGAGGGATTAACAGCGCCATTTTATAGATGAGAAAACAGGCTTTAAGAGGTTAAGTGACTGGCCTTGAAATTCATTCTTGTGTTTACAGATAATCAGTACTGGGAAAGCCTGAGAAGAGGGAAACAGGGTAAACCTGAAGGGGAATTATCAAAGGCATAAATGTGCAATTTTGTGCACAGATGTGTATTGGGGGAGTAGGCAGAAAAGAAGGGATGTGAAAGAGAAAAGTGAGTTTAATGTGATGAGATGGGAGGGTTCCTAGTGGGAAATAGAAGGGAGAAGTCAGCAAATAGTTGGGAGACACCACAGAAGAAAATCCTAATAGATGAAGGAAGTCCAAGCTGGGAAGCCCAGGAAAGACATGGCTAAGAAAAAGAAATCTGCAGTCCTGTGGGAAAGTGGGTTGGGGGGTGACAGTGGAGGGAGGGCAGGAAGACTGCTAGCCCCACAGTACCAGACAGGAGAGAGATTAGCCTGCAGGGGCCCAGTGGGCTAAGGGACACAGCTCCTCCGGTTCTCACAGAAGTCACAGTGCTGACTTCAGGTACCTGTGCAGCTGTAGTGATCTGGTGGCAGGTTTAGCCTCACACTTGCGCCTACACTCTGTGAGGCAAGCCTTCCTCCTCAAAGGTGCCCTGACGGCCGACTCAGAACCTCACACGTTTCAAATGAACAAAATGTGTAAATTATAATGTGGAGTTCCAGCATGGCACTTGCAGAACTGTAGCTGAGCGGTTACCTAAGTATCTCTGATAATACAGATTTACATCACAATCCATTTCTTTCTGCTGTCCTCCCACTTGAGTCTCTGAACCTAATGATCAGATGGGACGGCAATTAATGGAACTTTCTCTAGGAAGCCCCTCTGACAATGCTCTTCTCTGCAAATTAAGCTCATAAAATATGAATGAGGGGAATACTGACAGTGGAAGAGACTCCAAATCAAAGGAAGAAATGAATCCTAACCTAGCCATGAGTTTGTGTCCTGGGACACAGGCAGGGCATTCTTTGAGCAGGTTGTTACTCATCCTTAAGGTCACTATCCTGGCTGCTTCACAGGGTGCCTGGGAGACGATCCCATTGGAAAACCTTCTGGTGTACTTCACAAGCACAGAACATAAAACGTAGTTTTGTTTTTGCTAGGCTATTCTCCCCAACTCCGTTGTAAGAAAATGGCTGTTGTTCTCAGCCACCTACACACCAGCGTTTGGTTCCAGGCTTCGCACAGAGCAGTTACTCACTGTATAGCAGGGATCCTAGGTGAGGGGGGTAGGTATGAACTCCTGAAACTTGAGCAGAGGTTCCCTGAGGCAAAGAACTCTGGCCTATTCAAGTTGTCCTGCTTCCTGTTCACTGTGGCAGCATTTCTGTTCCTGCTTTGCCATCTCCACCTCTCGTTTGCCCAGCACTCTCCCTTTAGGTGGCGTGATCTTTATTTGGGCCAAATATACAGCTGAGGTGCTTCTTCAGTAGGGACTGTCACCAGGGCACCAATGCTGTAGTCTCACTGTTCCACTGTGCCTCAGAAGCCTGTTTTGCCTGTTAAGTTTTCCTCCCAGCCAGTCGTCTTGGAGTCAGACCCAAAGCTGGGCCTTCTGGTTTGCCCTCTCTTGACTCCAGCCTGGGGAATGGTTAGCAAGGAAAAGGGAGTGTCAGGACATGTCTACAAAATGATGGAAAATCACCCACCACCATCCCTTCTCAGCTTTAGCATGCTGAGTCCTAAAGAAGCCACAAACTTATATATACAGATACATATATATGTGTATATATATATACATATATATATTTTTTACCAGGAGAGACAGAGCTGGACAGAGAAGCCTCTGGAGCTGCCTGTCAGAAGGATTAGAGCACACCCACACTACAATTTTAAGGTATGGTTTGCTTAGATGTCAGTGAACCCCCAAGTGCCTTATGTTCAACTTATTTTTTTTAAGTAATCTCTACATCCAACATGGGGCTCAAATTCACAACACGAGTAGCATGCTCCACTGACCAAGCCAGCCAGGTGCCCCTCCTTAAGTTCAATTTTAACTGTCATCTGAGAAGAGCTTCAAATGAGAGCTAAATAATAATACCTAGCATATATGCCAGGCACCTTGCTAAGTACTTTTCATGCATTAGCTCACTTAATCCTTATAAGCTCTGAGATAGACACCATTATTATTGCTTTCAACAGAGGAAGAAACTAAGGTTTGGACAGGTTAAGTAACTTGCCAAAGATCAAATGGTTGTTATGGTCAATCTGGGATCTGAGGTCAGGACTAAGGTCAAGGTCAAGGCCCTTAACTTGCACAAGGCTATGCTGCCAGGATCCCAGTACTTAAGGCAATGTCTTTGCTTTTGTCTGGCTGTTACTCCCTCACCCTTCTACCCCAGTCAGAAAAATGCTCACAAGTGGTCTTCTCCAAACCAGCCTGTCAGAAGGGAGAAATAAATACTGGCATGGTTCTGGAACCTGAGGCCTCTGGCAACCATGTCTAGCCCTTCTATGAGCTCATAATAGTTTCTTCTGTGAGGAGTTGTCAACCTATGTCTCCCCTCAGCTGCCATATGCACAGCTTTCTCTGCCTGGCAGGTTGGAGGTAGTCCTGAGCCCTGCTTCTGCATCATATGGCTTCCCCTTTCCTTGACCTGGGCTCTAGAACAGGGGAGCCAGGCCAAAGGATTCCTTTCCAGTCCTCTTTGGCCAATAACAAAGTATTTTCACCTGGATACCAGAAGGTACAAATTCATGAGAGCTGTTTGTGTTGTTCACCACTGAATCCTCCAAAGAGTACCTAGCATGTAGTAGGTACGCAATAGTTGTTGAATCAACCGAGCGAATGGGGTAATGTAAGAATGAGATTACTGAATTGCTGACCACAAATTATGCAGCATATTATTAAGTGGGTTATGTAAAAGCGAACTGTGCACAACTATAGCTTTATGTATTCCAGAAACAGGAGACATCAAACCAAAAAAACAGATGGAAGAATCCAAAGCAAGAGGAAAAAAGAATCATTTTAAAAACTAGGGGGATAGGGCAGGGAAGAAACAGGATTCCCAGATATTTAACTATCCCCCACTCCCAAACAAATATTACCAAACACATGTTCAAACTGAGAAAAAGCATTTTTAATAACACACACATACATTCATGGGACTTTAAACAAGATGTAGTAAAAAAAAATCTTAAAAAAAAGGGGGGGGGGGAAGAGAAAAGAAATCTGCATTTACTTGTAAACTGCCTAAGAGCTGGTGGAGCAACTGGCTGACAGGACTGCCCAGGGAAAACAGATGCACAGATAACGAGGTGCACCAACACTGTAAACGAGTAAGAAATAACCACCACAGATCGTGCTCTACATGCCCAGCCACCGGTACCCTAATCTTGCATCCTTAGAGACAAACCAGGACAGTCTCTTCCCTATTTTCCAACTCAGTCACTTGTTATTGGGTCACCTCTTAAATTTTTTATTTTTAAAATTTAAAAATTACCCTTGGTTTAAAGACTCCACGCATTATTACTGGCCAGTCCCCACCAACTATACTTGTTTGGACAGAAATAAAAATGCAAATGCTCCTGACTGAGCCTGGATGACAATGCGCCTTTTTCTCTTTTACATCTGGGGAGATTTTGTGAAGTCAAAAGCAAGCTATTATTTGTACTTCAAAACAAAACCAAAATGCCAACCTCCCAAAAGGTGACAAAGGCACCATTACCGTCAAAAGACAGACAGGAAATGTACAAATGCTGTTACTTTACTGCTAGATAGATGCATTTTGTGCATGGAGAGCCTCTTCACTTAACATGATATAACTAATAGAATTATATTTTCCAATAACAAGAAAAGCAGTTTAGAAAAGGCAAACAGTTACACACAAAAGCATAAACACTTACAAGTACCTTAATTTTCAGCTTGCAATAAGGGTAATAAGTTTGACATACATATCCAGAAAATTAGACAAGGTTATTTTTGGCACAGTAATACTGCCAAACACACCACCACTCAGTGCAAGCTTTGTTTGCCAAGTCCCAAAAGTGGCCTGACATTTTCTGTGCAATGAACATTTTCTCCCCCCACTACCATCCCATTCGCTGGGCAACAACAGCAGGAAGGAGACAGAACATGGGGACTCAAGAGGGAGAAGGATAATACTTGATTTGGGAGAAAAGTTATGGGCTACTTGTGCTAAAAGAGAATCATCACAGAATTTGTATGAGAACCCAATGCAAGTACTGACTGGAGTATGACCTGGAGACGGAGACATCTACCAGAGTCATAAATACAAGGGCTCAAACTGATGTCTGGCCATTTTTAAAGGGACAGATGAAGTATTTTTCTCTAATGAAGAAAGACAATTAAAAATAGAGACTTTTCTTATTGGAACTGCTAAATAAAAATGTATCAAAGTGGTTTTAAATTTGATGAGCAGTTATCAGTTGAAACTGCAATACAAAAGGGTCACTTAAAAAAAAAACCTGAATAACCCACTTGTCCCCCGTCAATGTACACGATTAGAAAATATTTACACACTGTAATTACAAGCAATATAAGCAGTATTTTATACTTTGAGATTTTGTACACTTTACACAATGCAAAATGAGAAAAATATGAACACTTATAAAATTACACACAAATAATGTATCTACAAAGTATTAAATTACAAAGAGTGAAAGCCCCCATTGTTGGGCAGATAGATGCCAGAGTTTCAAGCTTCTGTCAAATAGAACTCTTTGTATCTATCTCATTAACCATAAGTGGCATTTTCTAATAATACCCTTGAGAGGTAGTATCGAGATAATAATATTCTTACCAGTAAACTCAACAGAATAAAACTTTTGTTGGTCTGACTCCTGGAGCCTCATTCAGTCGGGGTTCTAAGGAATTGGATTTACTTAGTCTTCCCTATAAAATCTCTAACTGCTCAATGCTTGACATGGGCTCAAAAGTTACTTATGCTATTGTAAATGATAAGTTTAAGATAAAATGCTTTTAACTCATAACCCTCAATTTAGAGGTAGAAAGCTATTTTTCAAAAATTATCTTCTCCCCTCTCAAACCATAAAACCCAAGTCCAATTCCCTTCCTCTCCATCATCTTTCCCCCCACAACTGGAGACATCAGAATGCTCAGGAAAGCAGTGTCATCCAAGTCAATATTGAAAGGAAAAAAAAGTTGACATTCTCATTCAAGAAACAACCCCCTCCACAAAGGGACACTCAGTCAACAAAAGAATTTTTCAGTTAGCTAGTAAGAGTCTATTACTACCAAAGGCTTCAAAGGGCCCTTGGGCTAATAAGACCAGCATGTGCACTTCTACTAACCCTTCACCATTTAAACCCAAGGATGGCTTTCCAGTGTTTAAGAATATTTAGAGCAGCTGTGGTTTTCAAGTGCAACAAATTTAAAATACAAGCACACACACGCGCGTGCACACACACACACATACACACACACGCGTGCACGTGTGCAATGTCCCAAAGAATAAACACCATCCAGGTCTCTGCCAAGCTTACATACTCATGAAAGTAAGGGTTTTGGAAACTTGTCCAGATCTTTAAGCTTTTATACTATAGACTTCTGTAATATGGCTGACCAAGGGCCAGGATTCTAAGATTTAGCCAAATTCTAAGATTTAACCAGTATTTAAAAATTATATATACACTTAAAAGGAATCCAAAACAAACTGCATATGAATGTTTTGGCATAAAAACAGAGACACTATTTTATAGCTTAACCTCTTCCCCTTAAGGGGGATCTGACAATATACCAAATTTCTGTTTCTTAACCGTTTAAATGTATTTTAAAAACCTAACAGATTTCTAATCTTGAATAGTGAAGGAAAATGTATGGATTGAAACCTCCCTGTGGTTTATAGGAGTTACAGAAGAGATTTATTCTTTTTGTTATTAATCTCAGTTCTAAGTTTTCTTTTTGAGTCCTAAAATAATGAAGGGGAAAATTAAACCCAACTGGAACTTGGTCTTGATTTCCATGTCAAACTACTCAACTTGGTCCAAACCCTTTCCTACATATTTCCTGTGATTATCCAAGTGCCATAAATACAATCCAAAAAAACAAAACAAAACAAAACAAAAGGATAACTGGCTTACAAATTAACAAGAGGAGTTAATAGGGGCAGGTTAGACATGCAACTCTTAGCTGCTTCTACCCCTCCCCTCTTGTTATAGGATTCTGCTCTTTTTAAAATGTCAGTTGCCTTAAAATTAAGCAGATCATGTTTC